GTTGCGGCGGGAGCCAGCGGGCCTTCCCTGCCCACACCCTCCCCCGGCACCCTGGCTCTGGCCCGCTTGGCCTTGGCTGGGACGAGAGCCAGAGCCGCGGCCCCCTCTGGGCCTTGGTCTTCCCTTCTGTGCCGGCTGCGGGCGGGGCGAGCCGGCGAGGTCCTCTGAGGCTGGCTCGGTACCACCCGGTCCCCGGGCTCCTGGGCTTGGCCTCCCGGCCCAGGAGGAACGCCTGCAGGGTGCCAGGAGCAGCTGGCTCGGGCACAGCAGTGCCAGGATCATCGGAAAAATACCAACTTCCCTAGGAGGCTGGATGGGGAGGCGCCGAGGCAGGAGGCAGGAAGGAGGCAGGAGGGAGGAGGGTCTGGTGTGTGGGGGCCCGGAACTAACAGGCTGCCTGTTCTGGAGACAGGACACAGCACACACACCCTGCCAAACCGGAGGGAAGGAAGCAGGGACGGAGGGGGTGGGAATCGGAGAGAGAATGTTCCCGCAGCTCCGCAGGCCGGGGCCGAGCCCTGCTCCCGCCATCGGGCATGTGCTTTGCACGGACGGTCCCCTGAGACCCCCGCCCGGGCCGGCCCTGGCCCCCGGGTCTCTCTCTTAGGCTACTCTGCTGGGCAGGCACATCGGGCAGCTGCACAGGAGGAGCCCAGCCTGTCACCTGGCGGCTCGGTGGCCTGAGGTGGGGCCCCCCCGCCTCTCCGAACCTCTGTGAAAAGGGAGGGAGACCCTCCCGAGAGACGAAGTGACGGCCGCGTCCCTGTCCCCTTCTCGGCTTGTCTCTCTGCCCCTCCGTTTCCGCCACCCCAACCTCTTCCTCCTTGGTCTTCAGCCTCCCTCAGCTCTGATCTGCTGTGCCCCGTGCCCGCGGGGAGCCCGCCGCAGGCCCAGCTCCTTGGGCCAGCATTTCCTGGTGAACAGCCTCCGTCCCTCCCGGCCTCGGGACAGGTTCACCTGGCGAGACCCCAGCCCAAGGGTTCTCCCCAGCTCGTCCTGCTTCGGGCCTCCTAACGGTCACTTCGGGGACCCCCGCCCGCGGCCCCTGTGTTCTGCTGCTTTCCTGCTCCGTCTCCTCCTCCGCTTCCCGAGGCGGCACGGGGCCTGGACGTCTGCCCTGGAGGCTGCACAGGCCCCGAGGACGTGGGCGAGCTGCCGCCAGGAGAAAGGCCTGCAGTCTGAGCCCGGTCAGCGGGGGGGACACCTGGGCCCTCCCACCGGCCCTGTGGCAGCCCCAGCCACCATCCCTCCCCTGAGGGCACCCGGCAGAGGCGGGGACGGGGCAGGGCACAGGGCACAGGGCACAGGGCACAGCGGATCAGAGCTGATCCCTCTCCAGCTCCCTCAAGTGCGGTAGCAATGGAACGAGGCCATGTGAGCCGGGGTGGCCCCGCAGGGCGGCAGGGTGGGCAGTGGTACATGTAGAGGGTGGCACACCTGGACCACAGGCCAAGGCCAGGCGGGAAGGGGCAGGTGAGAGAGAGAGGCAGACCCCCGCCCTGGCCTTCCTCTACAAGGACAAGGCCACGAAGCCAGCCCGAGGGGCCCTGGCACAGGTGCCGGGATCGGCTGGAGTGTGCGTGAGGCGGCCTGTGAGCTCCGCCCCCAAAGACGCTGCTGCTCACACCAGGGCTGAGCGGTGCTCGCTGCTGACGCAGGAGATGAGCCCCGAGGGAGCCCCAGGAGGTGGGGTGTGAGTCCAGGGGCTGGGACCGAGGCCCCGCTGGGAGGGGGGCAGGCGAGCCCCCCTCCACCTCCAGGCCACACTCTGGGCCCCCAGAAGGGGAGCAGGGAGGGGGGACTGGGGCACAGGCAGTCCGTCCGGCCTTGCTGAGCAGTACCCCCGGCTCATCTGGGGGCCCAGCCTGTGGGGACCGGGAGCTGGCACTAAGGGGTCCCGAGAGGCAGATGTGAGCCCTGTGGGGAGAGCACGTGGCCGCGGGGCAGCCATGGGAGCCCGGCACCGTCTGCAGGCTGACGGGGGTCTGAGGGGGCTGGAGCAGGGCTCCCAGAGGCCGTGGATGTGGGAGGGAAACCCAGCTTGAGATGCGCATCTCAGCATCATTTGGTCCGCACCTGGGGTCTGGGGGCCTGGGGCCAGAGGATCAGAAGGCCAGGACCCCAGAGGAGCTCGAATGGGGGCTGCCTGGATCCAAGAGCTGGGCAGAACCCCTCTGTGGTCCTCTGCACCCCCACCCCAGCGAGACGCCTCTTTCTAAGGCAGGCCAGGCCTCCGGAGCTGGCGGGCCCAGGAGAAGCAGAGCAGCTGGGCCCTGGGAGTGGGGGTTCCCCCAGGCTCTCCCACTCCCTAAACAGTCCAGCTCCCCCTCCTCCTGCCCCTCCCAACCTGCAGGATCTGCTCTGGCTGAGGCTTTGGGTTGGAGGCCGGCAATCTGACCTTCATCCCTGCTTGTGGGGGAGGGCGGGCACGGAGGGGCAGGCGGGGGCAGACCCCCATCCCAGGCAGGAAGCAGCCCGGCCTCTTTTCCAGGGGCAGAAGAATGGAGCCCCAGGCTCCAGTGCGGGGGCTTGCTGAGGGCTTCTGGGGCGATAATGGGGCAACGATTAAGTGTTCCCTGAGCAAGCAGCGGCTGCCGCCTGTCACCTGTCACTGCGGGCCCTGTGGGTACAGCCTCAGCGCAGGTCCTGCTGGCTCCGCATGACCGGCCCCAGCATCTCCTTCGGGGCTGGACTGGCCAAGAAAGGGGGACACCGGGGGTCTGTGTCGAGCCCGGCCCTGCCTGCGAGGCCTCCTTGAGATTCCCTCTTGGGCCAGGCGCCCCCACAAAGGTGGTGGTTACCCCGCTCTAGTCTCCTGCCTTTGTGCGCCCCTCCCCCAGCTCCCCTCGCGCCCCGCCTCACCTGCTGCTCTCCGCCTGGTCAACCCTCTAGGCCCTGGCTGGGCTCCCCGTCCTCCAGGAGGCCCTGCTGGACCACTGCTGCCTTGGGTGGGGTGGGTGGGGGCTGGAGGCCACTGTGGGCCCAAGGCCCATAGAGGCCTGGCCTGGCCTGGGCTCCTGGCTGGTCAGGGGATTTTGTCCCTGGTCATTCTGCTGCTGGCTCTGGCGCCCCCGCTGAACAAGCCTGAGCACGGGCACACACGTGCCTGAGTGCGGCCCCTGCCCTGCTCGCTCGGCCGGAGCTTTCCCTGACACGGGCCCCAGCTCACCTCCGACGCGGACACAGCCCCGGGTCTGTGCGCGGGCCACTGGCCGGCCTGGCCGCGCCTCAGCCGTCTCACAC